ATTACTAGCAAATACCCAATAATTTATGCCACCATTTAATTATAAAAGTAATCGGCGCATTCTGACTTAATTATATCAATTAGATTTTATTAGATTAATTAATTATATAAATTAAAAATACTCATTAAAATCTTATGATTTGGATTAAAACTCAACTTTTAGCTTTATAGTATATAAATAAACAATTAAGCTTATAAAATAACTATTATTTTTCGATTATTTGTTCTATTAACATACAAAGTATCAAAACAAGAGCATGTCATGTGTTTTACAAAGTATATTCATAAAATAATTATAATAAATAATTCATTTCAAACTTGAGCATGACAACGTTTACAATACAAATAGAATTATATAGTAATTCATTTACAATGTAATTATGAAAACATATTTATATATTTGGTATAATGACAAATTTAGTATTAGTTTTTTTAATATTTACAGTTTTATATACATTGGATAAATGTTGATTTATGTTTCATTTATAAGGTCACTTACTAAAAATACAATTTACATTCTAGAGTAAGTACATTATTCCTTATTCAATACCTATTAAAATACTTCAGCTGATTAACATAGCAAAAAAATAATACACACACATATGCGTATATATATATATATATATATATATAATAATAATATATATATAAATATATATTATATATATATGAAATGTTTTAACCATATATATTTATATACATGTGTATTTAAATCCCATACATTAAAGATTTGAGAGTTTCCCACCTTATAAATAAAATAAAATATAATTAAACATTTGCATTTGTTGTATTTAATGACAAAAAGTTTCATAAACATTAGCCCCTAATACCTTTATTCTATCAATAGCAATTAGTTTCTCTACTAACACTTCTGAGGTTTTACCTACAAGACCGTTTACAATGGGTATCATCTTTGCCATTGGTATTTGTAATTTATTCATATTAACAAACTCATTTTTTAATTCAACTTCAACAATTTTCTCCTCAGGTATAAAGTTCTCAGCAATGTGATCCATCATTGTTGCAAATCCCTGACTCACTCCAAGAGTCAATAAAGATTTTACATCTTCTGTCTCTAGAAGATCCCTAGTCTCTGCTATCATGGTTGAAAATAAAGGTGAATTCATATCCGTTGTAGGAAGAACAAATTTGCTTATATCAGCTAGAGGATTCCGCGGGTCCTTTGCTACAGCGGCCTGCACTGACCAAAATATTTGCTCAATGTCTGATATACTGAGTTTTTTTGTTAAGGGTATGTTTTCGAGTACTCCCCTCACATTATCTTCAATAATTTTACATATTCCTCTTACACCTTCTCCTAATAGATTATGGCATAAAGACAAATAACGCGCTTGCATGTCACGATCAACATTGCAAGTCCCATTTTTTGAATCTTTATAAACATAGCCACCTAGTAAGCTCAACTGAACACGCAATGTTACAACAAATACGGAAGAAGTATAAACTAAACTTGCAACTTTAGAAAAAGCACGAATTTTCAAATCAGACCACAATTTAACTTTGTTGTCTGGATTAGTTTTTAGTTCTACTATTATGTCTTCAGTCATAACACATTTGCATACTGCTTCACATAACTGAGGAGCTAAAGACATAATAGTTTGATTGCAAGTGAGTTCGGTACCATCAAAATGTTGGGACTGCTTGGTTCGTTCTATGAACTCTAAACTCTGTTTCTCTTGCCAAGCACGCAGCTTTCGATGAGCATATCTTGTGGCCAGAATGGCACCTCCAACCACACAACCAGTGATTATTAGTTTGTTTTTATTGCGCACAAAAAAGCGAGAAATTTTTGAAATCATTTTAAAAAGATATTGTTTTTTGAAAATATTTATGATATTCAGAGTTAGTTTAGTGCTGCTACAACTTTACATCTACTACACTTATTTATGAAGTCTTATAATATATAGAATTATTTAACTGAATTACTTTCACATCAAAGGTATATTAGATAAATATATCTGATTTCCATTTAGAGTCAAAATTGTAATGTATCAAACATTAGATGCCAGTCGATATTCTATGTTGATAAAATTAAACAACTTATCATACACCTGAAACAAAAGAAAAAAAAATTATATGTATGCAATAATGCAATATAATTCAAATAGCACTAACTATAATTGACAATATGGTATATAAATAATGAGCTTAATTTTTTAAGTAAAACTTCTTTAGGCGCGACTAGGATGTAAATCCGTACAAATGCAACGGAAGTGCGTTACGGCCCTCGATGAAAACATTTCTATACGGGTCGATTGTGATTAGTCCTCGTGTATGTGAATAGAGATCTGTCGTTGTATGCGTACCAGCATCAACGCAAAAAAGTAAAAAAAAATGCAAGCAGTCAATGAATGTATGTTAATTTTAATTACATGAAGATCTTCAAACACAATTATTACATGATAAAAATCAGTAACAATTGGTTAACAAGTATGTTGATTTTATTTATATTCATTTAAGGGAGATTTTGTTTCTTTGCCTTTAAAACTGTGACCAGAATAACCCCTTAAATAAAATAAGAAAAATCAAGAAGAAATATTCAATTCCTTTGATATCTGTAACATCAATACTACTATTATGGTACATTTATAAATATAATATATAAAATTTGGAATCCTTAATAAATTTTGGAGCAAGAGGAACAACAATCATGCCTCAAAACACATTTCAAAATCCTTCATATAACATACTCTACAAAGTCTGAATAACAAATACCAACCGCAGTAAAAATTTTGATGATCATGTCACAAAAATTTTAAACATTTAGAGTCTTCATTATATGATTTATAGTTTCTACAGCTTGTGTTTCAGATTTGCTCAGCTGCCGAGCTACATTTGTTGCACACTGTTTAATAGGCTCGAACTGAGCAAGCTCAGTTCTCTGCAACCATATTCGAGGTAAAGTATTAGTAACACATTTCAATTTCTCTGCAGCATCTGCAGCCTTGCAAATACGAATTATAGGAATTAAGTAACGATTCAATAGCAGATCAAATGCTAAATTCATTAGTTTACTATCAACTATCACTCCCTGAAAAGACAAAATGTTGTGCAACAGTTTCACTCCCGATGCAAACTGCCTTTGAGAGAATTCATTTTGCTTTGGAACTAAAGGTATGTAAACATCGTGATCTATAGCCCATTTTATTCGTTCTATGATCACCTCAAAGACCCGATTTAAAGCTTTACAAGAAGGAGTAAGATTTGGATAGTCCTTGCAAAGTTTTGTCATCAGTGATACAACTTTTAATGTTTGAGAAGATGAAAGTGGATCCCATAATTCAATTATATCAACAAGTTTTGGCAAGATGATTTTAACAACAACCATCGGTATCAGCATATTGAGATCATTATGTTCTACTTCTGAGTTTTCACTTTGTGATCCAAACAAAGCCAGAATGTTGTACCATTCCATTTTTTCTATATCATGTGTATTTTTAAGTGGATTCCAACCAACTAATTCTAGTCTTATATAAGGACTTATAACTTTAGGAATACATAGTGTTACATAAGAATCCTCATATGTTTCTGGATCTTCCCGAAGCCATTCTTCAAAGCATTCCAAAACACTTTTCAAAGATGCAAACTCTTTACAAGCATCAGCAAATATTTGAGAAACATCTGAGAGGATAATTTCTAATTGTTGTCGATTTTCCAATTCTCGCTGATCTGGAATCTCATCATCACTGGACATTCCTTCCACATGAGATTGCTGTATCCCGCACTTTTCACGCGCTCTTCGTCTACGAGCTCGTCTGCCCTCGCGTTCAGCGCACCTTTGCATAAATTTTTCATCTGAATTATTCCGTACTTTATCAGCACTTACTTGATCTGATACATCTTGTCTCCTCCTCTCAACAAGAAACATCATTTCATTTTGTTGATATTTTGAATATCTCTGCTCACAACTAACAATGCAAGGAAGTTTTTCGTCTAGACATTCAACAAGATCTCCTATATAAGCACGCATTTCCTGATAGAATTTAAATCGGCGTTTATATTCAGGCATTTTCTTTTCAGCTACTTTACCTTCAATTTTCAAATTCATTATGTCTTCTGAGAGGCGAGTAAGATCTTGTGCATGTGCTGCATGTGCTTCACGCACTTGTTTAATGCGATTTAATAAATTGTTTTCAATTTCTTGCAATGTTCTTTCTTCGCATGATGGTAATTTGGATTCTGTGATTGGAGCAATACCAGCACTAGCGTAAGCTTGTCTTAACTGTGATGTTTTCAGACCGCAATCTTCTTCAGCTGGAGCTTGAAGATAAAATTGATAGGTTTCTTGTTGAGCATTAGCTATTTGAGTACCAGTGACTCCTTTCCTGATTTGTTGATTTTCCCATTCATCAAGTTCAGGATCACTTTCCTTAGAATATAGCATATCCTGAGCTTCATAAAACTTTTCAGAACGTTCTGCACGATCTTTATTCTGAACATTTACAGACATATCAACCCTATCTTCATCCTCATCTGAACCATCTCCATCTCCATCCTCTCGTACCAAACGACTTTTATTACTTTTTGTTGTTATTGGAACAAAATCACCAAACTCTCTGGCCTCTTGACGTCTTTTACGAGCTGCATGTATCATAGCAGCATCAGGAATTTTGCCTCTTTCCAAGGCATCTTTAACAGTAGACGGGTGTGAAAATAGATGTCTAGGTTCATTAAATTCTTCGTCTCCTGACAAATATTCTTTATCTGAAATTTCATCATTAGAATTAGGGTTTTTTATTTCAGTCTGTTTCAAAATGATCTCTAAGTCATCTGTTTGTATCTTAATTCTGCCGTCTTGTTGAACATCGACCTGGTCACCAGTGGGTTCTTCAGGAATGACATGTTTCTTTTTACGTTTGCGTTCTCGGTCAAGTTGTCGCATAACCTTTTTGCTGTGAGATGACTTTTTTACTTTGAAAACTTCTTCGTTATCCTCCCCATCGTCATCAAAACTGAGAAGTGTTCTACCTGTATCTTTAACTTTGTCCTTTGACTTATGTTTCTTTTTCTTGCTTTTCTCAAATTGACATTCGGTTGAGTCACCTATCGAATCTGTTGGAGGCTCACTCGTGGAAACATTTTCTGAAAACTCTTTGTTATCACTTTCTTCTTCATCTTCTACGGCAGAAAACACACGGCGTTGGATAGTTTTCTTTGGTTTTCGAAACATGGACATGTTTAAAGGTTCTTTGATGGAAAAATGATTATTACCGAGCTCCTGGAAAACAATATATAATAACGTTCTCCTAACACAAAATATTATAACTTCTATACTGTAACCCTATATTATATACACAATAAACTAGGATATAGTACAATAATAACGCTAAAATCTATATTACCGTAAAATAATCACTGACAGCAAAACATGACACATATACCGGGATTGACATAGAGCAAAGTGCAACACGAAAACAAAACATTGATAATCAGGTTGAAAACTTAAAAATATCGATATCTTAAAATCTAAAGGTACCGACACACAGCACTTATGATTATTTAATGTGCTGAAAGACGGCACGCACACAGTGTCGAAACGTACATAAAAATAGTTATTGATTGCTTTTTATTTCAATTATTTGAGCAAATGAACATTTGAAGAATATGCTTTAAAGTCGTACAAAAAAATTTAATTGAAAATAAAAAAATAATTTAAAAATATATATTAAAAGCATGGAAGGTAAGATTAATAGCACGAATGCATCAAGATGTGCTCTTTTCCAAGGTTTGCAAATTAATTATTAGTGAGAGTTATGATCTGCATTAAATCGTTTATTATTTGTTTTAATAAACTTACATAAATAAATAAATAAATGTGAAATATGAAACGTTAAAGTATTAATAGCAAAAATAGACGGGGTTAATGCTCGCATAATTTGTAAACAACCCTCGCTCATTGTTTCGAATTGTATTGTTCTTTATTTCGGGACAAAAGTATCAAATTTCGTCGATCTTTGAGATGTTTCTTTGCACCTTCATATACTCTTCTATTTATATTTGATGACAAAATCAATATAAAACAACATACACAAACAACAACATTTTTCAAAAATGATATTTAATATAAATTTCATTAATAAAGTATAATGGCAGATACTTATAATCATAAATGTTTTCATTTTCTTACTTTATAAAAAAACAAATACATTTTAACTAAATAAATTAGATCAAAATAATTGTTTTTTTAGTAATATTTAGCAGAATGTACAATGGCAACCGACAGCAATTTTAAAAAATTTTGATATCCATGTATTTCTAATAGATCGTGGAGGTTTTTGAATTCTTGTGTCCGCAGATTGTCGATCTCTTCCGGATTTCCGTTTGAGCACTATAACCTGTAATAAAAAAAAATTAATTAAAAATAATTAATAACTCATCTAATGTAATAAACCTTAAAAAGAGTTTAAATTCAGATATAAATTCAATTGGAAACGTATTTAGCTCAATCATTGGTGCAAAAAAAAGCTGTTTTGAAAATTGCTGATTTCATAGATTTTCATGTGAATTCAACTTTGCGACCTCGAATTTTTGCCGTTGCCGCTGCCATATTAAAAAAATTGTGTCAAAAATCAGTTTTTTAACGATTTTTTACGAATGTTTAACGAAATTAAACTACTAAATGACTGAACTATTTTCAAAAGTTTACTAAAATTACTGCTTGTTAATTTCTAGATCGCGTCAAGGGTTCATTATAGTCAATATATAGAATAATTATAATTATAAATTTGTAAATTTTTCTAACTTACATCATAGAATTTCTCTCGACATCGGGCTCCTCTCCAACATTCCTGCTGATCAC